CGCAGGAATAAGTCAAATCTTTGCAGCACGGTTCACGAAAGGCAGCCTCCGTCACTGCAACAACACCAAATAAAACAACGTGGAAAGGGGATTTGCGAGGTGGATGGATGAATGGATGAGCGCATGGCTGGACGGACAGAAAAGATAGAGAAACAAACAGCAAAAGAACAAACAGATGTGCGGAGCTTAGAGTAGAATGAATCCTGTGGAACGGACCATTAGCCTGTTCGCAATCTTCATGGTGTTTTGGTCGTCAAGGACGAGCTCGTCCGAGAACCTGCACTAAAAGAAGCAAATCTGCAGCGAGGGTGTAAAACAGGATTCATCACTTTCATAGTCACTCCATCAACTGCTGGGGAAAAGGATGGAGTGGTTAACCTTCAAAATGTGTCAAAATCTGAGTCAGACGCATTATTTATCTTCATAATGATAAGCTTAATTTAGCGCCTCTTCAATCAGCCCACAAAACTGAGGGATGTTGGGGCGAAAATAAGTGTGCTTGCTCTTTGATCACGATCACTCGGGGAACAGAACAAAAGTTTGCCTATCAGGTTCCTGGGCAGCCGTCTGGTGGAATTTAAAGAACGACACCGCGTCTTAATTTCACAAAAGGCTGCAACAGATGTTCATTCTGTCAGAGGATGACATTCACTGCATTGCTAAACAACATATTCATTTTCAGAGCTTCAGCTGGGCCTTGTTTGTCTTCAGGCCCTGCTGCTGTGTTGTGGACCACTACCTCCCCCTAGTGGCCATGATTGAAAAAAAAATTATAAATGAGAAACTTTATTTATTTATTTATTTATTTATTTATTTATTTATTTTTGTGGTCTGCAAAGAAAATTGGGCTTCATTTCGAAATTAAATTTCTGTAATAAAGATGTAAAGCTTTGATGAATGTTCATGTGTTTTAATAGGGAAAATATTACCGTTCACGTAGATCCAAAAGATTATGATCACCCTCCTTCAAAAGACACAGGCGGTCGATTATGTCTTTGCCTGTATCTGTGTGTGCTTTAGCATTTGATACATTGTGGGGACTCATTGCTTCTTATGGGGCCAAAAGCCCAGGCCCCAAAAGTTTAAATGTCATTTCGGATGGTGAATTCGGTTTTGGACTAAGGTGTGAATTGAGTTTAGATTATGTTAAAAGTTAGTTCTGTCTTGGGGGTGGATTAGTTTTCGGTTAGGTGTCAGGGTTTGGGGATAGAGGAAGGAAAAATGATGGAAGTCAATGCAAAGTCCCTGAGAAGATAGATGCAATACGTGTGTCCTTGTATTTTTTTATCTTTTTAGGACCATTTCTGGTGTACACACCTAACTTATAAAGACCAGTAGTCCATATAGGGCCCAAGGACTGGTCCTAACATGGTAAAACTCCATTTTTGGGTTGGGGGTTAGGTTTAGAACTAAGGTGTGAATTGATTTTAGGTTAGSTTTAGGGTAAGGGGTCAGGTCAGGCTATAGAAATGAATGTCAATGTCAATGTTAATTGTGTGTTCCTGTGTCAGTCTGTTAMTGAAATATCTCATGAACCAATGGACTGATTTTTATTGAAACATTCAGGAAATAATCATTGTATGCATCTCCCCATCTTCATAAAACAAGATGGCTGCCATAKCCAACAGATTTTAGAAAACACAAATATGGCAATAGTTCAGTCAGTTTTACAGCTACTGAGACATTGCACAGACTACTCATTGCACAAGATCTTAAAGATTTGGAATTTCCTTTTGAAGTCTTTTGTCTGTTAATCAAATATCYCATGAGCAACAASATGGATTTAAATGAAACWTTCAGAAAGTCATAATTGGAAAWACRTTTGTAAYTGACAGGGCTGACAGAGATTTAGAAATCTGCTCAAGGGGCGCCATCTAAAATCTTGCCCAGGGCACCAAATTGACYAGGGTCGGCCCTGGTAACCGGTTAACATTTGAAGGTAATCCAAGATCGGACCAACAAAGCTTATTTGCCAACACAAAAATCACTATAACTCAGTAAGTTCTTTAGATATGGAACTAAAATTTGATGCGGTAGTACTTGAGAGTTATCACAACCCACACTCTGAAGGTGAAATCTATAATGTTGTGTACAGCTTTATTTAACTCTGTCATTTCTCAAAGTATTTTAGACTAAAACTCTGGCATGAAAGCTGGAGGGTGATGCATAAAGGTCTTTAATTACTCSATTGTTCTTGTGATACATGAACCGTCAGCAAAACTCCAATCGGTTTCTTGTTTTTGTGCCACTTTCTCTGTTTCAAACCTAGCAAAAAGTTTGAAAGAACGACAAAGACCACAGCTCCCCCAGCACCACCCCAGCCCTCACCTCTCCTGCAGCTCATCTCCTCAACATGAACAGACTGAGCCGTCCACGCCAGGGCTAATGGTGGGGACATTATTCATCTCTCCAGCCAATTTGAGCTCTTTTTTTTCTTTCTTTCAGGAATAGACGGCACGAAGGGTTGAGAGGAGTCAGCGAAGAGTATTAAATATGTAGAGGAAGATGGACAAAAGGAGCTGCAGAATAAAGAGGGCCAGGAGACGTGGGAATGAAGAAGGACAGGGGGTGTGGAGCCAACCAAGATAGTTAGGGCCTGTGGAGAAAGATAGAGGACGTATGTGACAGACATTTTATTTAGGTTTTGTAAGTTTGAGTCTTTTGTCATAAAAATTGATGGAACTTTGGAGAGAAATTCYGAAACATGTATTGAGGTCCTTGGAGATTTAATGGCTGCAAAAGTTGCCATCAGTTTTCCTTTAAGTGTGGTAAAGGCCAGCTATTCTTATTTTATTATTTTCTTTTTGTGCTGCTGTTTGTCACTGGGAGATTTTACTGTATGTGGAGTGGCCCGCGGTGCGGAGAAATTCTAAAGAAGAATGGGACTTGAGGGCATCTTGCCGCTCGAGGACAGATCGATGCGTAATATCAGCACGTTTTAATTTCGCATAAACCTTTACCAACTTCGCAATGTCACACCGTGTTCATAAAAGTTCTCTCGCCGCCGCCTTGAACAAAAAAAGATAAATCCATCAGAAAGTCTTCTTGCTTTTATAGCCACCTCCCCACCCCACCCCACACACACATACACACCCTCCTTCCTCCTCATCTCCATTTTGATGTCTGTCTATTAGCAGAGGGTGAGGCCTTTCCTGCTCTCCCATCCAGGGGCTAAATTAGCTCAATCAGCCCTCTTTCACCTCTCTTCCGTGGGCTTCAGACTGAGTGACACACTGCTCCCCTGGGATGGGAAGGAGGACTCACACACACAAGCACACACACTAAGCCCAGCAGCCATGTGAATGGCAGCATGGGGG